AACCTAGCAAACCACTTTTGTGCTACACGATCGTTTACAGTATCGGGCCCATATAAATTAATTTTTTCAACCGCTTTGGCTGCTTTTTCGCCTTGATCGAAGAAAAATTGTAAAATATAGCGAATTTTCCCTTTGCTGGTGTCCATTTTTGACGAGCGCTCACAACGTACTGAGTCAATCAATCGAAAAACTGTCAAAGACAAACTTTTAGCGCGAATAAACACGTTTTCAGCGCCGTATAGTATTACATGATGCGAAACGTAACACTAGTACTATACTAGTACAATAACGCCATAATCTCGTTGAGACCTAATATTTATATTGTACCTAGAAGCAAAATCAGCTAAACAAAGAGTTTATAACTGATCGGATCTTTAAATATAACGGTCTAAAATACCGGCTACGAATATTTCAGTCGAACCTAAAGGAAGGTTTTGAAGTTCCGCTCTTGGTTTTACCTAGTCGAGAGGTATTTATAAATATTTCTGCATTACTTGCTTCCGAAAGATGGAACCCAATGCAGCAATATATTGCTTCTTGTGCAGATGTTTAAGTTTTGCTTAACAGTATAATTTGATATAGCTTCATTTAAGAGCCCAGAAATTCCCCTGTTAGACTTGTTAATATAATTAATTATATATGAACGTCAAGCATATGCATCCAGTATATATTGGATATCCATATTTGCTCTACTGAGTTCCAAAATTAGAGGTTTATAAGCGTTTGTAAAACGATCCTGTAATTTTCTTTTTAGAAAAATTTTTGGTTTTGTTAAACTTGATCTAAGGGCTAACAAATAGTCATCAAAAGACATATTTATTCTACTATCAGACACGAAATGTGTCGTTAAAATTAGAAATGTCTGCTGTAGTCATATTTGAATTTAAACGTTTTGAGTTTTGAAAAAGTTTTCCATGTGTCTTTCTGAATTTTGTCTTGTTTCTGTAAGAGGTAACAGTATTTGCGTTGAAGGCATTGGTGGATATGTTATAGCAAAATGGCAAAACTGTTGTTCTCTTATTTCCCTAGTACAAGACCGACTGTGGTTATGCTTTTGATAACCCAAATAATTTTCAAAGTGGCTGACCGAACCATCTGTAGAAATATAATTGTCAATAAAACTAATGACATCAGGGAATGCCTGAGGATCTTGAAAGTTGATCCTGGGAGCATTATTAAGCCAATAGTATGCCATGTACATGCGTGGAACCTCTCTGTTGAAACTCCACTCACCAGTAGAAATTTGTGACAAAATGCTCTCCAGAAATGCCGGCATTATCTTTTAAAAGCTTAAGAATTTGTCGATCGTGGTAGTCAAAATATCTAGCACAAGTAATCGCGTCTGACCGAATTAAGCGATATCTATCTTAAATTGTTAAACTGTTGGCTTCCTCTTCCGAAATATCTTTATAATCAACAGTTTTAGAGAGGATGACCAAAAGCTAAACCCACTGAGATTCTGCAGCCGATTAAGTGATAAAGAAGGTTGGAAGCCGAAATTGGCGAATCATAGGCTTTTATCGCCTTTCAAAACCTTGTAACCATCATTGTGTTGAATCAAGTTTGAAATAAAGTTTTCGTTTAATAGATTTTAGGCCGTAACTCGGTTGCAGCCTGAAAACTTTCTAAGGCAAATGGATGTACTATTCTTAATTTGTTACAGTTATAATCTTTTGTAATCATAGAACGACTTTGGAATGGTACACGCTCTTCTGTCAAAACGGAATTTCAGATCGTAATATCTTGCTATATGTTTCAGAACATGTACGTTTCTGCCCAACGTATATTGTTCCAAATGACAACTCTTCTGAATGTATTATGTCAATAGGTCTTTATCCTTCACCTGGTGCTATAACTAAACGGTTATAGTCCAAGTTTTCTACAGGAATATTGTCCCAAAGAGTTTCTTGACCGCCCTATCTCTCCAGTAGAAATTTGTGACAAAATGGTCTCCAAAAATGCCGGCATTATCTTTAAAAAGCTTAAGAATTTGGCTGTTGGCTTCCTCTTCCGAAATGTCTTTAGAATCAACAGTTTTAGCGAAGATGCCCAAAAGTTCAACCCACTGAGATTCTGCAGCCGATAAAGTGATAAAGAAGGTTGGAAGCCGAAATTGGCGAATCATAGCTTTTATCGCCTTTCAAAACCTTGTAACCATCATTGTGTTGAATCAAGTTTTAAATAAAGTTTTCGTTTAATAGATTTTAGGCCGTAACTCAGTTGCGACCTGAAAACTTTCTAAGGCAAATGGATGTACTATTCTTAATTTGTAGCAGTTCTAATTTTTTTTAATCATAGAACAACTTTGGAATGGTACATGCTCTTCTGTCAAAACGGCGAATTTCAGAACGTATTATCTTGCTATATGTTTTAGAGCATGTACGTTTCTGCCCAACGTATATTGTTCCAAATGACAACTCTTCTGAATGTATTATGTAAATAGGTCTTTGTCCTTCACCTGGTGCTATGACTAAACGGTTATAGTCCAAGTTTTCTACAGGAATATTGTTCAAAAGAGTTTCTGGAGTGGGTTTAGCTCTGAACGTAAAAGAGCTGTGAGAATATTATTACCTGAGGGATTATCATGGGAAGTTTGTGCCGCATAAAAGATTGAACCAATCGGGAATCCTCTGCAGATGCAACAAACGGAACTTCTTCTTGGTTATTAAATTCTGAAATCCAGTTCCCATTTATATGTATATTGTGCTCACCTATTCACTAAGAATTGCAAGGTTCCATAAGCTTTGCGGGGCGTATGCTATCGATCATGTAATCATGATTGTATTCCAAACGCCTTCTTAAGTGAATTTGTATCACATGAGCCTCATCAAAAGACCTTGGTAGAGATGTCGCAATATTGTTAACAGAAATTGGTATATTAAAGACAACACCTGTGAGAGACCTCTGGCCTTGATATCCTAACGGACGGATTGTCATGAAAGGTAATCTAGGCATCATGAGACGTTCTTCAATTGGGGTTAAATCTTTCGAACAATCCGGTATTTCAGGAAAGTCTAGACTGTTAGCTAAACATATTTTTCGAAAAGAAACAGCTTTAAGCCCTATCAATGGTTGGGACCAGACAATTTGTTCACGCCTCGGTTACAGCAGTCCCTGAGCTGCACAATAAACTGGTTAACAACCATACTTAAAGGGGAAATGCAATTAAACTATATTCCCTCATTACGGAGGCAATTCAAGGTGATAAATACAGTTGCGTTGAAAAGTTTCTACGCTCGGAATGAAAAAATACTGTTGAAGGTACGAAACATATATTTTTTTATTCAATATAATCTCCCTTAACTTCAATACACTTAATCCAATGATCCTACAATAATTTTATACAATCCCTATAATGACTTTCCGGAAGCTCTGCAAATTACCCGTCTACGACTTTTTTCGACGACAATCGCTTTCCACGACGGAATTGCTTAAGGTTTCTAAAGAGGTAGTAGTCGCTGGGAATATGGTGAATACAGAATATCTCAAGCAATTCGTACTTTAATTCGTTGAAGTTTGTCATTGTTGAAACACCTTTGGAAGCAGGATCATTGTCTTGATGAAAATTGATTTTTTTGTGTTGCACATCAGGTCTTTTGCATCCCAAAAAATTGATGCCATAACTTTCTTTGCTGATCGTGTGACTTCCATATTCCCGTCATATGTACCAACTGGAGAAAAAAAAAATTTGGAGCTAGTACTGCTATTTCTTGGTGAGAGCATAAAATTTTCAACCAACCTGAATAATAAAGGCGGGCACAAGCTCACACACTAAACCAAAAGATTTCAGACCAATTAGACTTTCCTCATTTTTCTTTAAACTTTGGAACGGCTCATAAAAATATATATAAGGAACAAACTAAGCCCGGGAAAAATGGCAGTTTCTCAGCACGCGTATTCTAAGGGAAGATCCATAGGAACGGCATTAAGCTCAGGTACCAGAGATCGAAAAGTCTCTGGAGATAAAAGAATACATCCTCATATCTTCCTTAGACATACAAGGAAGATTGTAGAACGCTCTTTCAATAACACGGTATTAATCGATGGGTCGTATCATGCGGACTGAACCTGAATGCTAGCAAGACCGAGTTAGTATTGTTCACTAAGGAACACAGTATTTCAGAAAGCGCGCCGCCATTATTGAAAGGCACCAAACTAGCGAAAGCAGATAAGGTAACATACTTGGGTCTAATTTTGGACAGAAAGCTTTCTTGAAAACTAGGGTGAAGAAAGCAGCTATAGGACTTTACACGTGTAAAAGTATGGTGGGGACCAGATGGAGACTAATGCCTCGGGTAGCTCACTGGCTCTACACAGCAATTGTAATGCCGATTATGATTTACGCTATATTGGTATGGTGGCCAAAATGGTGGAGTGCTAAGAGGCCATGACAATAGACTTGGAACGCCAGATAATGACTATTGTAGAAGCTAAGGTAGAAGAGGAGGAGACCAGTAAACATTTTCTGTGCGATTGTAAGGCTCTCTAGGGTTTCTTGACGACGTCTCGGAGTTTGCACAGATTTGCCGCTCTTCTAATTCTGAAATTCGATAGCTTAGTTTAAGTATAAGGTACGGTATCAAATCCTTGATTATTTTCACATTAAATAATTATGAAGAAATATCATTTTAAGTAAAGAAAATCTCAATTATGTACCTACTTCTTTTATGAAAAGTTAAGATGTGTCTTGAAACTATACAATATTTACATTATATGAGCAGAAAAGGATCGAATTCCGCTAATAGTTCCAAAACCATACAATAATATCCATTATGTGGATTTTTCATTTTTCCCTCCAAAAGCGAGACCTCTTAAACACAATCGCTACTCGATAGCAACAACTCTCATCAGAACGTTTCTTCAGTATTCAAGTAATCAGTATTTCAGTATTCAGTAATCAGTCATTGAATCCTCCGTTCTCAAATTGAGTTCAAATTGGACCAAATGCCAAACACTGTCCACAATATACATATCTGTTACCTTCAGAATAAACAAACCAATTTCGATCTTTCACTTCATTATTTTTAATTTTTTGTGGAAGATACTAATTGCCAGAAAACGACGCTGATCAGCATATATTCCTTCACTTTCAGAGAAGTCACAAGATTTGTTTTGATCAAAGCCGTACCTTGCGATCATCTTTCTCACTATTTCGACGACTGATTCTGAGACGAATCTTCAATTGTTGGACTTACAGATGATTCCGCTTCTGCCACACTGTCACAAACAGCAGAATATGTATCGGTCTCATCTTCTTCAGATTGTATTGTATTACGACTTATGTTTGAAGTTTCCGCACTCAAAATACTGATTTTACATTAATTTTTTAATAAAAATTGTAAATTTTAATAGTTTGACGGATGACTTCTTTCTGTTCTTTTTTTTAATTTATGCTCTTTTTCTGTAGTCGGCCCCATTAAGTCGCTTTCTCCCATCACTCATTCTGACAGTTTTTGATTCAAGAACTGGAACAATTAAATAGTAAATTTAAAGTATCGTTTTCTGTACGTAATAACCAGTATCCGTTGTTCAGATTTCTAACTTTGAATTCTTACCTAGTAAAAGCAAACCAGATAATTATAAGTATAATAAGATAAGAATTTTGAATTTTTCATACACTTTTGTTATCAAGTCAAATTTACTGTTTCGCTACGGTTGATTTATCGTAAACATTAGAATTATTTTATTTACTTACAGTGAATTCGTATGTTGTTGTTGCTGTAACGGTTATCTAGTCCCCGCTTGGATGGTAAGTGATAGTTTGGTTGTCGTCGAGGTCATCTAACGGGAGGCCCAAGAAACGGGCTGTTTCGACGGGGTCGCAACGTAAGGAAAAGGGTGTTAGATGCGTTGGGTTTGTTGGGCATGCAAAGAGGTGGTTAGTATCATGCGGGGCCTCATTGCACGCAGCACATATGTTTGGTATGTCGGGGTCTATTCTGGATAAGTAGGAGTTTAACCTGCTACAATATCCAGAACGAAGTTGCGCGAGGGTCACTCTGGTTTCGCGGGACAACTCGAGCTCTACGTCTGCTATAGGTGGTGGTTTGACTCCTAGTACGCCATTCACTGAGAGGGAGTCGATGAAGGTGTTAATGGCTCCACTGTGAATAGCGGTCAGTGCTTGTCTGTAGTTCGTTGTGTCCGAAGTCCGGTCGGCTTACTGTCTGATGTCGTCGACGTAATAAAGGAATGACCTCTTGATGGTCCTAGGAGGCGGTTCCGCTTCAAGCAGGCGATTGCAGGGGTGATTTCTGCGAAAACACCCCAGCAGAAACTGCTTGGAGAGGAGCTCATTATGTTCCTTAACCGGAAGCATAAGGGCCTCACTATGTAGGTGTTCAATTAGGGACATCAAGAGGCAGCCCGTGATAGTCCGGAGTGCAGTGTTTTTGACAAGTCTGAAGCTTCCTCGTCTGTGTTGCACTACATCCAGTCGACCAAATTGGTGATGCGTAGTTTAGGACCGGCCAGCCGATTACCTTGTAAGTTGCCAACAGCGTTTCTTTGTCTTTTCCCCAAGAGCTGGAGGATTTGTTGCGGCTCTGTACTTTGGCAGTTATCGCGGTCGTGTGAGAAATGAAGGAGCACAGACTGTCCAATGTGACGCCTAAAATTTTAGGGTTATTAACTGTCGGAATTTTTGTGCCATCGACTGAAATGTTCAGGTCCACACCGGTTCCGACTTTCCACACATCGGGTATTTGAAGAGTGGACATCGACAAGTTGAGGACCTTGGTGAGATGGATTTAGACGATTTCGCCTTTTTGATGACACTCTGAATCTTCCCATCGGTGAAGGTAAGTGGTGCGCAGTCTTTTGGCATTTTGCGCAGCCGTCGGGTAACACATCGTTTGGCCTTGTCTTTCGAAGGGTGCAGTGTAAACTGCCAGCTAAAATAGCTCGCGCACTTCTTCGGGTCCGAGGAGGCATGGCCATCGCATGGCCTTGACAGTATTCCAAATCTTACTCACACCGGTGGAGAGATTACAGGACTTTAGGTGCTCCACCCATTTTGTCCGCTTATGTTGGTTTACCATTTGCCGAATCTCCAAATTGAGATCCCTTATTCGGGGTTCACTAGGATCGGCCTAGCCTAAGGTGTCGCGCTTGTTTGCTTATACAGCTGCTTCGACTGGGAAATTTGGGCGGAGTTCCGCGATTCTACCAGCCGGTGTGAAGCAAGCGGTAGCAGCAGCGATCACCTTGCGGAATTGATGCTCGCCAACGATGAGTAAATTCTCTCTCAGTAAATTCTGTGAAGCCGACCCAGTTAGCTTTATTCAAGTTAATGAAGGTGCGGTTGTCCACAGAAATAAAGTCGAGAGGTTTCTCGATCGAGATAATTATGGGCAGATAGTCTGATGTGAGAGTTAGCATAGGTCGCCAGGTATGCTATTTATCAGACCACCGCTAGCGATGGTAATATTGGGCGAGCTATTACAGGTGCCCATAATTCTGGTGGGGGCTTCGTCATTCGTGTGCAGAATGTCGAATCGTCAATCTGTTCCGACAGAAAGTGACACCAGCCAGTGCAAGAATTGCACTTGACTGATGTGACGTTCTGGCGTATTACGGACTGACACACGGGACAGACTGTGCAAGGAACCAGGAGTTGCTGAGTGGTTCTCGCACAGGGATTGGAGCAGGATGAAGGTAGAGGGGAGGGGTTGGTCAGATTGGGAGTCATGCTGCCTAGAGCTCCTTAGGACCGTAGATGTCCTTTCTTGGCCACTCAACTGGAGTTACGGCGCAGTGCGCGAACATGGTGCAGATTGCACAGCCGTTAAGGCTGGTGTTGCAGTATTACGTTGGCAGCATGGGGCCACGTAATTCGTGGTCCACTCCCTATGGGTCTTAAGGCCTGAGCAGGGCTGAAGATGGCTGCATCCATTGCATGTATTGCACCTAACCGAGGTGGAGTTTGGATGGAGCCTTTTAGCGCATACGCAGCAAAAGAATTCCTCGGGGCCCGGGTTGGACTCGATGCCAGCACGGGTCAAGAGGATACGAAGCAACCCTGCTGCTAGGTGTTGCTCTAGTGACGACAGACTTAGACTAACACTTACCGATCCAAACAGGGTTAGATCGCCGAAATAACAGCCCTTGGCCGGATGAAATCCGGGTCAATTCCGGTAACGTAGAACCGGCCTTTTGTGGGAATTGATTCGTACCCACCAGTGATGTTTATAAAATTATTTACGAATCCACTGAAAAATTATAGTTAACAACTAGAATGATCAGCTTCTGGAATATTAATATCAATACGAAATATTAAAAACTGTAAGACGCAAACATCCGAAGTGACTTTCCTTTTGTTTTTCACTTAAATGCAATAAATGGATTTATCGTCGCTCTATATCTGCCTCTTTTGCTCTCGAACTCAACACATCGACGCATCGAATGTATACAACAAAATCTCGCTTCAACTAACGCTGTAACCCGATTGCGCCGCACTCGTGCTACCATTTGGCCTGCCACTTTTTAATTACTGAACGGTCATGTCATTTGTTTTGGCGTTCTAAACCATCTACGACTACGCGATAACATAGTATAATGAAATAGTTAAGCAGTGAAATGGACCGATTTTCTAATTACCGAGCTGCCTAACTTCATTTTTCATAGAGTTTCGTTTCACTTTGTCAAATAGCAATTGTTCACATATCAAACTGATTCTATATTTAAAAAAAATTAATCAATATTTTTTACGAAACAAAAAGAAAATTTTGAAATTTGATTAAAATTTCCCAACTCAAGAAAATTTTTGAGATTGAGTTGGAAGACCAAAATTCTCTTGGGCCATATATTTTGAAGTTAAATTCTTGAATCAAATGTTAATTTCTTGTTTGAAGTTTATAATTCTTAAAACAAGAATTTATTTGCTACCCGCAAGTCATCTTTAATCAAGAAAACAATTCTTGTGACTATAAAATTCCTTTCTTGATCTTTAAGTAGTCCCCCTCCCCAAAATCCAAAAGTATAAGTGGGGATTGAGTTTAAATTTATGTACAATAGATGAAAAAAACCCATGACTGAGCATTGACGATTTAGCGCAGTAGCGTGCGACTCTGCTTCATACAAAGAAAATCGTGGGTTCGATTCCGACAGACGTTAAATTCATTTCAAGAGCAATAATGCTTAGAAATTAATTTTCCAACTTCTGAAAGCTCAAAAAATAATATTTTTGAAAATTAAAAATTTTATTTTCTTCCGACAAAAATTCTTGAGCCAAGACCAAAATATTCTTGAAACAAGAAAATTCACTTGAGCCAAGGCACAAGTTTATTATAGTAAGAATCTAAAATTTCTCAGTTCAAGAAAATATACTTGAATCAAGGGAAATAAATATACTTTGATCAAGAAAAGGAATAGGACAATTTTTTATTTGATCCAAGTAAATCGTGTTTTCTCTGTGCATAAAGGAAAACTTATACTAATTTTTAGTGAATAAAATATTTAAAAGCATCTTAATTTCAATGCTAATATCGGTATATATACTGTATATTTTTTTAAAATTTTTGTTAAAGGCTTTAATTTCTGTAAAATTTTTACAACTTGTCTTCCCTGTACAAATGTTTTTTTATTCCGAAAATCGAAACAAAAAATTTTCGACTAAAATTTGCCGCCCTATGCTATAGCCTACTCAATCTGCTGATAAATCCGCCACTGCCAGCTATATGCTATAGTTTTTGGTAAGAAAAAGACGTGTGCAAAATTTTAGATTTATACCTCAAAAACTGAGAGACTACTTCGCATATATACAGACGGACATGGCTAAATCGACTCAGCATGTCACGCTGATCATTTATATATAATATATACTTTCTTCTGGGTGTTACACTCTTCGTGACAAACTTTATATAAGTAATAATTAACTTATTATAAGTCAAAGGTGGTAGTGTTCATTATACATTTTTCAGACATTTTACAATCCTTAAAACCTTAGAGTTTGTGAATATGGTAATGCTGAGTTCGACTCGAACTTAGTTCTACTTAAACGTTTAGTTTATTCATAAATACTGATTTGTATCGATATCTTAACGCTTTTATAAATATCTTTTGAAGACTAAAACATCTTACTGTTTTCCACATGTATAACTCTGAGTCTTTTTTGTGTTTAACTTTCACACTTTACTTAAATATCTAAACTTTCCCTCATAAATTTATCAAAATCTAGCCGTTTCCTGAGTTTCTCTTACCATTTTGCCAGTTTATCCGTCTGTTCTCACAAGAAAGAGAGTAATAATGTAGATATTTCGGTGAAACTCGAAATGTTTTTGGTGTGTGTAGCTCAATTTTAAAATGATCAATATTTCGGATTTGGAAGCTAATTTCGAAAAAAGGAGAAATTTTTTTTTTTATGGCGCAATATCTCGCAAAAGTTTGTTTGGTTTAAAACTCAGCCGAGTGTTGCTCCTTGCCGAACAATAACTTCTGGCGTCAAAAATGTCTCTACCTCCATATTCCTAATATAATGAAATTCGTCCTTCCGGTTGACGTTATATCCTCAGTATAATGTAATTTGGTGCAAATCATGGGTGATATTTTATTAGGTCTTTCTCTAGCCTCATTATATTTATTTCTTTTTTTTCTGCCTCTTAAATACGATGAATATAAGTAGGTATTTAGTTTCAAATACAGTTAAAAAAATTTCAATTGTGATATTTAATTTCTAAAATGTAGTCGAAAAAGTCGTTTTACTTGCTAAAATAGATTTAATGACCATGACAAGTATGCTATACAAATTTTAATTCATTCCTCTTTAACCATCATTTTAGTATAAGAACAAAAGAAGAAATCCTTAAAACAAAATGGAGCTACAGAAGAAAGTTTCGAAGATATGTGTCAAGGTTCACAATTATACACGAATGTCTGCAAAAAT